CCGTTTGGAAATATGAGCACATCGTACAGCATGTGGCCCATACTGTTAATGCCTTACAATCTTTCCCTGTGGAAGCGTATGAAAAAGCCATATCTAATGATGTCAATGCTTATTCTTGGTCCATCTTCTCCTGGAAGAGACATCGATATTTACTTGCAACCATTAGTGGATGAGTTAAAGAATTTGTGGGAGCATGGTGTGCAAACATATGATGCCACAATCAGTCAAATATTTACAATGCATCCAGCAGTCATGAGGGCCATCAATGACTTCCCCGCATATGGTACCCTCTCTGGTTGGACCACAAAAGGTTACTTGGCTTGCCCTAATTGTAACATGGACGCATCATCTTAGCGTCTGCGAAGTAAGATAGAGTATATGGGTGGCCGCCGCCACTTGCCCAAGAACCATATTTGGCGAAGAGGTAAGCTCTTTAATGGTCAGAACGAGCATCAGTCCAAACCTGTGGAGTTATCGGGAGAACAAATACTGCAGCAAATTGATTCGGGGACATACAGGCCGTATGACAAGCATCCAAACAACCGAAAAAGACAACGGAATAAAAATCCACCTTCCAATTGGACAAAAAGAAGCATTATGTTTGACCTACCCTGTTGGAAAACGCTGAAGCTTTGACACAACCTTGAAGTCATGAACATAGAGAAGAATATATGTGATACTTTGCTTGGAACATTACTGAGTATAGATGAAAAAAAAAAAAAGACACAGAAAAAGCACGCCTAGATTTGGAAGATATGAAAATAAGGAAGGAGTTGCACCTAAAAAGGCATGCCGATGGGTCTTTTGAAAAGCCCCCAGCATTGTACACTTTGTCCTTAGATGAAAGGCATGGTTTCTGTGAGTTTTTGAAGTCTATTAAGTATCCTGATGGTTATGCCGCAAGCATCTCAAGGTGTGTGAGCACAAAAGGTGATAAGTTAACAAGAGTAAAATGTCATGATTGTCATGTCCTTCTACAGCGACTTCTTTCCATTAGAATGCATGGATATCTTCATAATGATATTTGTGTCGCATTATTTGAGTTTGGAAATTTCTTCCAAGAGCTTTGCTCGAAGACATTGAAGGTAAAGGATTTGGAAAAAATAGAAGATCGCATAGTACTCATACTATGCAAGCTGGAGAAAATTTTTCCACCAGCATTTTTTGATGTGATGGTCCATTTGGCCATTCATTTGCCGCGCGAAGCCATTCTTGGTGGGCCTGGGCAATATCAGTGGATGTACCCCATTGAAAGGTACTTACTAATTTCTTAATTTACTAGAATACTTAAATTTTAGCAAAACATGTATATATTTATAAAAATGTGAGTGTGCGTGTAATAAGATTATTCTATTGCTTGTTTCATAGGCTACTTGGAACTTTAAAAGGATATGTCACAAATTGAGCTCGTCCAGAAGGTTCGATCATAGAAGCTTATGTTGTCAAGGAGTGTCTCACATTTTGCTCAATGTATCTGGGTGGCATTGAAATTGTTAATCAAGATGAATGAAATGTCGATGTTGGTGTGCATGAGTTGGGGTTAGAGGTCTTCACACAAAATGTTTGTCCTCTTGGGCTAATTACAAGGGCTTCTGACGTGTCTTAGAAAGAATGTGAAATGGCTCATTGGTTCATCTTGAATAATAGCCTCAAGTTGGACCATTATCTAGAGTACATTCTTATTATTGGTTTGTGGTAGAATTATGTTTTCAATATAATATGTTACTTATCAATCATATATTTGTAAGTAGGCAACACAAAAATCTTTTAGAAAATCAAGGTACACGTGACATCACAAAGAGACAGAAAAAAGAATTCCCCAAGTCGTTCAAAGAACATGTAAGATATAATCCTAGACTTTATTCAGCTATACTTATATGAAGACTAACATAATGATTGAAATTAATGTCATTATGTAGATGAACCAATTACGAGCTCAAGGATTACCAGAAGCAACTGATGATTTATGGTCATTAGCAAATGGTCCTAATGTGAATGTTAATTTGTATTAAGCTTGCATTTCGAATGGTGTTCGATTTCATAGTAAGGATCATGATAGTAGTCATAAATGCCAAAACATTGGGTTAGTTGTGGAAGGGAAGCATGAGGGACAAACAATTGAATTTTATGGGTACTTGAATAGAGTGTGGGAAATGCATTACATACTTGGATATCGAGTTGTTGTATTCCAATGCGAATGGTTCAACGCTGGTAGCAATAGAACATTACATATCGATACACATTGCACAAGTATTGATGTTAGAAGTCGATGGTATAAAGTTGATCCATTTGTCTTACCAAGTCATGTGAAACAAGTTTTTTATGTTGATGACAAAGTTAGGTGGACATTGGAAAGTCGTAGAAAGACTACAACATTGAGGAATATGGGATGTACCAAAACAAGATGGCATTGAACCTGATGATGTATTCCAACAGAATGAAACAACTGATGTTGTCCCAGTCAGCGTTGAAGACCCCGTCACAATCTAACTTCATAGGAATGACATTGATCCTCAAATTATCCCAATTAAGGTGGTCTTACAATCAGTTAGTTAAGCACACAGCGATGGTGTTGATGATGAAGAGGGGCACGATAATGAAGATGATTACTACAAGCATTGACTATCCGAGAAGGTGAGCTATATAATCATTTTGATTTTAATATAGATTTTGATATAGAACTTTAATTGTTGTGTCATTTTATGTTTTTATGACACTGTTGTTTAAGTGCCTTCGAGTTTGAGTACAATGACTACTTAAAAAGATTTTTTTTTTTTTTGTATGTGTGTTTGTGTGTCCCTCTCTCTCTCTCTCTCTCTCTCTCTCTCTCCATTTTTGTTTTTTGTTTTTTATGTCATGTTATTTTTTAGTTATCACTTATGTTTTGATATTTATTCTATTATACATCCATTGATATTAATGTAATTGCTTATTTTACGTATGCTTCACACATGTAATTGTTGAATTGTTGTGCTAGATGGTGGGTCCTGGTAAAGTTCGAAGTGCGGCATCATCCAAAGTTCTTCTACCTACCCAGCAAGCTGCAGCTAGAGTTGCTGTCCCTACTCAACATGCACCAGCTAATTTAACCCCATCTCCTCAGAGTGTACCATCTACAAATGCTCTAAGTATCCAGCTTGCACCATCTACAAATGCAACTACTACCCAGGCTGCACCATCTACAAATGCAACTACTACCTAGGATGCACCATTTAAAACTAGTTTGCATACTCGTCCTAGACAAGTAAGGGTTCAGACTCGAGGGAAGAGCATAGCATGTTTCATAGTTAATAATGGTGGTGAAAAACTTCATGTTTGGATCCTTGCAGATGCAAAGGTGCTAGTAGGGTCTTATGCCACTCCATTTGCAAATGAACTTGACTTACAGATAAGGATGGCTGCACCAATCATTGGTATAAAAAAGTGGGATAAGATTGATAAGGTTCATAAAGCCCCAATCATTCGAGCAGTTTGGGTACATGTATTTGCTATTTTTAAAATAATTAGATTCTCACAATTACTTGCATTTTGATATTAATAAAAGTATTCATTATATTTGCAAGATAAATTTGAGATTGTTGATTAAGATGAGGATGAAGAGGTTCGAAAAGGAATCAATAAAAAGTGTAAAACTCTTTACAAAAGTTGGCGTAACAAGATGAAGTCTCATTACTCGAAGTTGGTAGACGCTGGTGTTGACCCTTATAGTAAACCATACAAAGGGGTCGATTATGAGGCTTGGGTATACATGATCAATCATGTATGGCTTGATGGCAATCATCAGGTAAAATTTGCTAATTTAAAGAATCATGTTGTAATTTCAATTTAATTTTACTAATCAATTAATTTTGCAGAACTTGGCTGAAAAACCAAGGGATAGTCAATCGAGGTTACCATATAATCATACAATGGGCTTCAAGTCATTTCAAGTTGCAATGTATAAACAGATGATGCATTTATTATATTTAAAAGTTTGATTAAGTAAAAATTAATTATGTATGCCTACTTTTAAATGGAATCAGGGTACTGTAAACACTCCATTTTTGACGGCCCTTACGACTTGGACGTCCTCGCATGCGCACCCGATGATGAGTTTATTTGCTCGCTAAGTGCTCGAAGTCCTCAGCGGAATGCCACAACTTTAAGCCTTTTAAACCCTATACCTTTGTTGTCTCAGTTTTGGACCAAGCCTAGCCTTTTCAGCCTGTGACAGACCACCACTTTTGGGCTGCCAGCCACTGATGTGGCTTGCCGGCCATTAGTGTATTTTACAGATATTTTACGCCAGCTATGCCAACTGTTTGTACAGATGCATGCATCTATCCCAACGTGTAGGGCTGGATCTCGTTGAGGGAATTTCATGTTTTCTATATATAGGATCCCTCTCTCTCTCTTGTTTTAGGGTTAGAAAATTTTGAGCTCAAAAATTTTCCTCTCTCTCTACCAAATCTCTACACTTTTGCCTATAATTCTTCAACTTTTGCCTATACACTCTTAACCAAATCTCTCTATCTTTGAGTTGAGGTATTCTTGAGCTTGGTTTGAGCTCTAGAGGGTGTATTTACTTGGTTTTGTTGCTTGGAATAGCCTTTTCTCTTCAAGAGGTATAAGACTTTGCTTGTAGCTTTGTTTTTTTTTTTGGTTATTATTCTTACTATTTTTCCATTGTTTTAGGCTGTCAAAACTCTTTGTTTTTTTAAAACCTTTTTTTTTTTTTTTTTTTTTTTTTTTTTTGAGCTGAAGCTTGGGTTTAAGGCCATTAAAGGTTGAGGAGTTGATAACCCTTCTTTATACCATATTTTGGAGACCTTTACCCTTGTGTTTCCCACCCTTTTACTATATTTTTCCAAGCTTTTAAACACTAATTTAGTGCTTTTTCAGTGGCCAAAATCATATTTTGAAGTCCAAATTTAGAGGGATTAGCCTCCCCCCCTTGTGCCTTGCTTACTAGCCTAGTTGGTGCCATGTTTTAGCATATTCCTCTAGCAATTTTTAGCTTCATTCCAGCAGGTTTTAGGACATATTTTAGACTATTTTAGCACTGTTTTGGGCTATTGTTTACATTTGAGCTTTGTTTTGCATGCTTCTAGTGTAATAGTCCTCATAAGCTTGATGTTTTAGGTCTTAGACATCACTTATTTGAGTTGATATCACTTATTTTGGGCTTTTCATACTTCATTTCAGCACTAATAATCTCTGCAATCTCCCTCCATTCTTGACTTTTTATTTTGCTTTTAAAGTGGTTTCAAGTTACTTGTTTGCCCAAATATGAAATTAAGGTTTCATACTTAATGGTTTAATCCCTTATGGGGTTCATTACCAACAGTATGATTCTTCTTTCATACCCAAAGCAACTTGTGTTTTGAGCTCTTTTTTCATTAGAGGACTTTAATTCACCATTGGACTTAATTGAATTAAAGGATGGTTGGTAAATTAAAATGAGTAACTAAAACTTGGAACTAAAAGTGAGAAAGATAATAATTTGGTTGTGTTCAATCGGACGTTAATTGCACAAATGGAAGCTTGAACCATTTCATACCTGTTAGTGATGAAATGATTCAAGTCTCCAAGGTCAACTTCTTCCCTTGATCATTCATGAAAGGAAGGAGGTTTGTGTCTTGTTTTGTATTTATTAAAATTGCACATCTTGAATCACAAGACATCATGCAATGAAATTGCTTGAGTTCGTGGTTTGTGACTTAAGCACACTACTCCTTTGATTTATTCATGAAAAGGAGGGGTGAGTGGTGCAAACAAACCCTTGAAAATTCCATGTATATGCTCTATTTCTCCTCTGTTGTAGTAAGGAGAACTGGATAGCAGTGGCCGGTAGGTGGCCAACAGACCACCCTTGATGACTGACCGGCCATCACAGGTGGCCGGCAATCCTCACCACTGGCTAGCCGGCCATTGGTGCAAAGCTGAGCAGTGAGTTTGTAAGGCAGAGCAGAATGGGCAGCAATGTATGTGTTCTCTATGCAAACAGAGGCATTCAGAAGGAAAACAACAGCTTTTCGAGTGGAAGCCAGGCATGAGCATGAGCATTCTTCGCATTCTGAGCTTAGTTAAAGTTTAAATATTTAGATTAATTATTTGTTGTAATTAATTAGTTGTAGCTAATTAATTTTGTTCAAGTGTTGTAGCTTAATTAACTAGAATAGTTAGTTAATTTAAGTGTTGTAATAATTAGTTAAGTAGTTTAGCTAGTTATTCACTCGGTTTTGTAATAATTAGCTTAATTAGCTTTACTCTAATTAGTTAGCTTAATTAGCTTAGCTTAGTTAGCTAGTTTATTCATTCAGACTCTCTTTCATGAGAGCGCAATGTAATAATGTGTATGTTTTCCAACCCCACGTCTTTCTTCCTTTTATTTACTAGCTTATGATGGTTAGTTTAGGGACATCATGTTTCAATTAGCATACTCCATGTTTGCATCCACTTGTATTTCTTGCACCGAGACTCGGTTCATCATTCTAACTGCATTGTTAGTTTAATACTTCTTTGAATACGTTCTTAGACTGCATGCTGTCAAATTGATTCATATGTCATACTAGTAGCCGAGCCTATTTAAATTGCATATCGCATGTGTTGCATTAGTCATATTGCATAAGTTAGGAATCATGCATTTTTTTAACTCATATATTTTTGGCTTGGAGTACTAGGTGAGCCTTTACTCGCTTTAGCATCTTGCATGAAATGTTAATGTTGCCATGTCTAGCATGCCTGCCATGAGGCTAAGTGCTTAATTGCTATAAACTGCTTGAATGCCTGTGGATGAAGGTTATTTGCTTGAATTGGAATAATTTGAGCAATGTTCATATGCGACTACTTTTTCAAGTGGTACATATTTCGAAATAATTTTCAAAATGAACACAAATCAAGTGTTCCAATTCTTGCAATTTAGTCTATACTTGTGTGTGTACGCATCACATAGTAATGCTAGCCTAATAAACTGGAACAAGAGCATATAATGTAAGTAAGATGCATATCATGATTAGTAGAGGCCGATCTTTGATCAGGCGAGCCGAGTGCTCAAATGTATTCATGACATTCCCCTCTTATACCTAAGTTCTCGAGCTGAGACAATCTTGATGATGACGGACACGTGACCTTTGGCACGAGTCATGAGTTTCCTAAATTTTCAAAAAATATTTAGGTGGCAACTCTGTATCTGGCAAAGCAGTCCATTTTTGTCAATTTGATTCAAAATCAATTTTCCAAAAGATTTGTCGGATTTGAACTTTTTGGTGTTTATCTATTTCACATTGCACTTGTGAGACTAGATTCAGAACCGCAGGAGTCCGAACTGTAGGGTTTATATATTTCAAACTTCCGAAAGGGGGCGCGAAAAAGTTGAGCTACAGTTTCTGGCAACTCTGTTGGGGAATTTAGAGAACTTGACTTGAAATTCATGATATGAAATTTTATCTACACTTATATGTTTTTTTGCATTGTATTTGCATTAGTGCATTTAAGTCACTGTGTTTACCATTTGCTATTCCTGGACGGTTTGCCGGAGGCTTGCCTAAAAAGTTTGCCAAAAGGCTGATCAGTCTCGGGCTCTACCACGATGGGAATGCAACCCTTGGATTTGGACTACTGCTGTACCGTTTGATCCTCCTTTCACTTCTCGGTGTTACGTGTGAGAGGTATATTAGGTAGTCTTGCTGAGGTGTGCTTTTTGTCCATTTAGCCTAGTTGTATATCGAAAGCCGTGGAGACTATTCCAAACTAAGACAGGATGCTCATCTAAATACAGGATTATGTGAAACCCCTTTGTTTGAATAGTGAACCCTAGTTCTTGACGAAACTAGGACAAGGTAACCTTACCCCCACATATGGATTTTTGGCTCTCACTTAACTGGTATGTGCTTTACAATGAAATTGTACTGGAATGCGCATATCAGTTGCAAGTTGGTATCTATTTTGAGGCAAAATTCAGTGTGTAGTACAGTCACTCAGCTGTGATTATATCTGTTTTCTCTTTTGCAAGGTAATTCTGAAACCATAGTTTCAGAAGGCTCTGATATCCCCCGAGTACTCTGGACTCGTGTCGATAGACTTTGTAAGGTTGGGGACCTAGTTGTCATATTTGGAAAAAGTGCACTAAGGGGTTTTTTAATTTTTTTGGAGTGTCCCATCGTTGGAGTGTCATATTAATACCTGTTACATTGAAGTATCACACCATATCTGTCACATTGGAGTATCACACCATATCTGTCACACATTCTAAAAAAAACAAACAAACAAACAAACAAACTTCCCCAATTAACTAGTGAGGATATATCTGTCTAACAAATACCCATCCACGTTTGAAAATGGACTTACTGGTCACACACTACGCCTAATAAGGACTCCTCAATCAACAATTTAAAACCTGAGACCAAATGGCACAGAAGTTCCAAAAATAGGACTTTCCAATAAATTTCCCTAAATTTTTTTCATAAATTCATTATTGAAAAAATAAGATTAATAGTTACTCTCAGAATATCATATGACATTATTTATGTGGCATTTTCTATTAATGAGAAATTGTAACACATCAATATGTAATCTTTTACCTCCAAA